TGCAGTCGGCATGAAACTCCTTCTCAACCTTATTTCTCAGTGTCCGATCATACTGTTTGACAAATTGCTTCAACGAGGTCTTTGAATGAACATATCCATCGAAGAATGCATTGATACTCTCAATTCGCTGAGTTGTATACATCCCTGCCCAAAATGTTGTTTTCAAATAGCAAGGAACCCAACGACCTCTGTTTTCAAACAATCCTGACAACCAATCATTACTATGCAACCCGTACGTGTTAATCATGGCCCTCCAACCATTTTCAAATTCTTCTACGAACTGTGATTCGTACACCAACCCATGTATAGTCGAAAAAATGGAAGCCTTGTCAACGTGATATCCAAACATTTCTGGCACCTTCTTAAGAATATGCCACAAACACCACCTATGTTTTGTATTAGGAAAAACAATCTGAACTGCTTTTACGTATCGGGATAGAACTAGCCAAATGATTCCATGGGGAGCTTTTCTATACATACACTGAAACCATGTCCTAAATAGCCACACAAAAGTATCGGTGTCCTCATTGGACAACAAACCACAATCGAGAAGTGTTGATTATCCGTGATGATTAACGCCAACGAATGGGGTGAAAGACATATCATACTTATTAGTTAGATAAGTGGTATCAAATGTGACAACGTCACTGACCTCCTTGTACGCTTGCCTAGACCTATTATCTGCCCAAAATACATTCTTCAGCCTAGACTCATCATCTAAATCCATACTGAAGTAGAATCCTGAGCATTGAGCTTACATCTTGGAAAAATAGGATTGTATCGCTGCTACATCTCCTTCCCTAAGTCTTAATCTTCTCACATGTTCAATATAATTTCGACAATCCTTTTCCACGCAAGTCATGTTTTCATATCCACCAGTGTTATCCATTACAGAGTTAAAACTTTTGTCTAAGGAAATTCCGATCATGTCATTCACTTCAAGCTTTCGTTTCACTTGTGAACTTAATTCTCGGTTACAGCGATACAATCTCGACTTGGAAGGACTTATTTTATGATTGTGGTCGAGGTACACTGCGTTGATTCTCCAGAGTACAAAAATATCTGAAGATGCAATGATCCTAGATTTACAACCTGTTTGTATTGTTGGTTGAGGCTTCAAAGAACCACTTGTACCGATGCTTCTTCGACCTTTGCGGCTACATGTGATAGTCACATATTTAATTTTCCCATCGTCACCCTTTTTCGAATTATTTTTCCTAACCGAAAAACCTATATGGTATGCATATCCTTTATAGAAGTCCTACAATTCTTTTTCTTCGTTGAACATCATACCCACCTCCGACACCTCGGGCACCATCAGACCATTTTCTCCTAATGTTGCGTTCGGCACTGATATGATATTGTCCGCAACATTCTTGTCATCATTTCTCTCCACCACAAATTCTTCACGTACGTCTTCCATAGAACTTTGTACTGCAACACAATACAGAAGCTAGTTCAGCAAACCAGTTACAGTTGAACAAGTAATTCAAACTGTCATCTCACCAATTAGATCTAGAGAAGAATAGAGAAATGGTTAGTTTCCAGTCAATTTTTCCCTCTTTTAGATTCCAATCAATTTTTCTTATTTCTTTCACTTCCAGTCAATTTTCCCTCTTATTTTAGAGTGCACCGTCCCCAAAGTCAATGACTTTTAAATTTCTGTATGGTTTCCATCATGTAGCTTTTGTACAAGAGGTTTTTCTCTAAAAAAAGGGGAAAATTCAAAACTACGAGTTTTTTTTTAGTGGAATGAGGGCGGTATCTCCGAAATTTTATTAATATGTCCTCATTTGTGGTGGAGGAATACTGTGGTTACAAATGATATCAATAAATGAGGAAGTACTACTCCCCTCATAGTGAAAGTAAGGAATAATAAGAAAGCAGTAAAAAATGAGTACTACTTCCCTTACAAAAAGCACAAGTTAAATAAAAAATAAAAATAAAAATAAAATACAAATACTTAAACTCTAGTGTTGGGTAAACCATATCTGTCAATCTGAACAGGCGCCCTAATATGTTGTAGTAGGTCGACTGGTCTATATTCCTACGCTGATGCCAACTCTCGGTAGCAAGTGCATCTGCAACTGGGTTCCCCTATCTGAAGATGTGGGAAACCATATCTCTGTTAAAGGAAGAAATATCTGCAATCTGTCTGAGTATCCCCTGGATAGGCCACGGTTCGCCACCTCTAGAGATGCAGTGAATGGCAACAGTCGAGTCTGCCTCAACCCAAATATCTGACAAACCAAGATCTCTAGCCAGGAGTATCCCGTCACGAATAGCCCTGAGTTCCGCCTCTAATATCATACATTGTCAATATGAAGTTGAGAAAGCCCTAATATGATTTCTTGCATAGTCCCTGATGATGCCTCCCTCACTAGCAAACACATCATTGACACAACCACGGTGTTGATCTTGACAGATCCAAATGATGGAGTGCGCCACCAAATCATGATAGGGGGAGGAGAAGGGGGAGAGTAAAAAAAATACAAAAAAGTATAGCAAGCTGCATGTCATTACGCCAATGTAACGGTCAGAATAGTCCACCAATATAGAGGAAGAATACCATACGGTAAACTCTCCAGATAATACATCTCGAGTTCATACGTATGTTTTTGTGCTTTGCATTATTCCTTTCAGTCCAAAGAAACCAGAAAATCAATAGAGGAATAATGATGCGAATGTGCCCGATCATTGCAAACTGTCCAGAATACCTCTATCTCAGAAATATCTGTTTGACACTCTCTCCTGTATTCATGGTAATCTGAAATAAAGCTCCAAAATATTGCCAAACATGATATGAAATACTGCTGCCAGTAAAAATATGAGTGATTGTCTCAATCTCTGAACAGCACTGATATCAAGAAGCCAACTGACTGACGATCCTCCACTGGATAATGACATCAACTGTTATTAAGTCCTGCCATAATCTCCAACAGAAAAACGAAACAGTAAAAGGTATGATAGGGCTCCATAGTAGGCGAAATGAATCTTGCATTGGCCTACTAGAGCGGATCAGCTGCCATGCTAATTTAATATTAAATTTGCCATATGATGTGACCTTTCAGAAAATGTGATCCGAGACATCAAGACATAGTGGAATGGTCGCGATCTACTCTGCCATAGCTGATGGAAGAGCATGTAGTAATTGCCCAAAATCTCATCCAGTCTCCTTGAAAAAGTCTTGCATCTTTGCAGATGTATGCTGTCTGTATGGGAAAATTGATGTCAATGTAGAATCACCCATCCAACAATCATGAACTAAGATGTTTAGTTTTACCAATTTCAAATTGAAGAGATTGTATTTAAAATTTCAAATCTTAGAGTTTTTTAAATTTTATTTATAAATAAATTAATTAAACATATATTTTATTAATTAAATATATGAAGGTCACAATTTCATATAATTTGGTCACAAATTCCATATAATTGGTCACAATTTTCACATGTCACAAATTATTTTACGGTCACAATTCAAAATTTTATAACTCACAATTTGTTCATCGATCATAAATCGAAAATTTTATATATCACAATTTATTCATCGGTCACAAATCTATCAAAGTAATAAGTCACATACTATTCTGGTACAAATCACAAATTTTATATCTCACAAATTATTTTACGATCACAATTCAAAAATTTTATAAATCACAATTTGTTCATCAATAAAAATTTATACGTCCAATTCATTTACTAGTCACAAATCACAAGTATTATAAGTCACTACTTATTAGACAGTTACAAATTATCAAATTATCTATCACATGTTAATAATTTTTTAAGTCACACATTATTTCTTGATCACAAATTGTCGAATTTTAAAATCACATTTTAATAGTTAGTTGAACCAAATAATTGGTCACACACACCAAATCACCCCTCCCCTGATCCCAATTTACCACCAATATTTGGTCACAAATCAACCAAATAATTGGTCACTGATTAATTCACATCGTCGCTACCGCCACCACTGCCGTCACCACCACCATTTTTGCAATACCACCATCACCACACCGCACATCACCTCCGCAGCACCATACCCAATAGTCAATCATCGCCACGACCATCGCCATCACCACAGAGGCTGTCTCTCACGCCAGCCAACACCACTACGGCCACCACCACCAACTGCATACACAACAAAATTTACCTAAAAAACGCCGGCACCCGTTCATTGACACATCAATGCCAGATTCACCTCCTCCAGCAAAAGCCACCCCACCACCAGATTCAATAAATCCCTTTTGATCCACCACCAATCTAACACCATCGCACCAACAAAAATTATTGCCAAATCAAGACGCAGAGCACAGACACACCATCATCGCACTCTACCTCGACCACCACAAATCGCCAGAAAAACACCACAAATCGGCAAAACACTACAACTCGGGATTTGGTTCGATCCACCACCAATCTAACACCACCAGACCAACAAAAATTATTGCCAAATCACAAAGCAGAGCACATACACACCATCAATGTACTACACTTCAGCCACTACAAATCGTCGGAGAAACACTACGGGCTGGATTGGTACAGATCGTCGTAGTAGCTGTGCCTCCGACCGTATGAAGTCGCGCCTCAACGCTACGCTCAGATGTGCCGCCCTCAAGCTTCGAATCGCCCTCTCTCGTGTGAAAATTGAATTATAGGGGTAAGGATTTTCGGTTGGGTGGGTTGGGGATTGGTTTAATAGATATGGGTCGGGATAAGTTTAAAAGATGAATAAATATCTGATATTTGGAAAAAAAAATTCTTAAAATCTGATTTTTAAAATCTGCATCTTAAAATTCGGGTTTCGTACAATTTGCACGAAAAAAAAAAATCGAATTAAAGTTGAATGATTTGATTTCACTCATATCGAGTTCAATTACAGGGGGCTACGTTTGGTTTTTTCCTTCTGAAATTGAAATGTCGAAGTCAAAGCGTCAAAGCTCACATCTTGAAAATATTTTCCATCTGTGTTGTGTGGCATGGGACTGATGATTAAAATGATACGAAGAACGACCCATCTTCGAACGCTGTTCAAATGTATCACTCTACGCTCTCTGATTTTTTCTTCATCTTCAGCATTTTCTTCTGCAACTCATTTAAACCAAAAAACACAGCCTCACAGAACGCCCTTTAAATCGTCAGAAAACAGTGATCCACTTTTCATAAATCGCTTATGCAGAGAGCAGAAATTCAAAGAAGCCGTTGAAATCCTCTGCCAACAAAAGCGATTAAAGGACGCGATTAGATTACTTGAAAACCATGTTCACTCTCCATCTGCCGCTATATATGCGACGATTTTGCAATTGTGTATTGAAAAGAGAGCTCTGGAAGAAGGCAAAAGAGTCTGTATTCATATTAAAGGCTCAAGTTTTGTACCTGGGATTTTTGTTTCAAACAAGATTCTTGATTTGTACTGTAAATGCGAGAGTATTTTGGATGCCCAGAAATTGTTTGATGATATGCGTGAGAAGGATTTGTGTTCTTGGAACATTTTGATTTCTGGTTATATGAAAATTGGATGGGTTTTAGAAGCGAGAAAGTTGTTTGATGAAATGCATGAAAGAGATAATTTTTCCTGGACAGCGATGATTTCGGGTTATGTGAAACACAATGAACCTGAAAATGCGTTAAAATTGTACAGACTAATGCAAAGAAATGAAAATTGCAAGAGCAATAAGTTTACAGTTTCTAGTGTACTTGCAGCTTCGGCTTCATTGAAGTCTTTGCGCCTTGGAAAGGAGATTCATGGTCAAATTATGCGTAGTCGGTTGGATTCTGATGCAGTGATATGGGGTGCTTTATTGGATATGTATGGGAAATGTGGGAGCATAAATGAAGCGAAACACATATTTGATAGGACGATGGATAGGGACATTATTTCATGGACAACTATGATGGATAGGTACTTTGGAGAGAGGAGGTGGGAAGAAGGATTCTCGTTGTTCTCAGTTTTATCTAGTTCTGGGATAAGGCCTAATGAGTTTACATTTGCCAGTGTTCTGAATGCCTGTACACATCAGACAGCAGAGGAGTTGGGCAAACAAGTTCATGGATACATGATGAGAGTTGGATTTGATCCGTATTCATTTGCTGCGAGTGCACTTGTTCACATGTATTCCAAATGTGGTAATGTTGAGAGTGCACTTGAAGTCTTCAAAAATCTGCCGAGACCTGATTTAGTTTCATGGACTTCTTTGATTAACGGGTATGCTCAGAATGGTCAACCCCATGAAGCTCTTCGGTTGTTTGAGCTCTTGCTTAAATCAGGTACTCAACCTGATCACATTACTTTTGTTGGCGTTCTTTCGGCTTGCGACCATGCTGGTTTAGTTGATAAAGGTCTCGAGTATTTCTACTCAATAAACGAAAAGCATGGATTATCTCACACAGCTGATCACTATGCCTGTGTGATTGATATCTTGAGTCGAGCTGGCAGATTTAGCGAAGCTGAAGACATTATCAAGAGAATGCCCATAAAACCGGATAAGTTTATATGGGCTTCTTTACTTGGTGGCTGCAGAATTCATGGAAATTATGAACTTGCAAAGCAAGCAGCTGAAGCCTTGTTCAAAATTGAGCCGGAGAATGCTGCTACATACGTTACCCTTGCCAATATCTATGCCACAGCGGGCAAGTGGAGCGAAGTGGCAAAGATAAGAAAATTAATGGATGAGAGAGGAGTTGTGAAGGAACCTGGTATGAGTTGGATTGATGTCAAGAGAAAAGTTCATGTTTTCTTAGTTGGGGATGAATCCCATCCCAGATCAAAAGAAATATTTGAGTTTTTGGGGGAAGTTTCAAAGAGAATGAAGGAAGACGGTTATGTTCCTCACACAGATTATGTGCTGCATGATGTGGAAGAGGAGCAGAAGGAGCAAAGTCTCTCATATCATAGCGAGAAACTTGCAGTTGCGTTTGGAATAATTACCACTCCTCCCGGAACTCCTATTAAGGTTTTCAAGAATTTAAGAACATGCGTTGACTGTCACACTGCCATTAAGTTCATTTCTAAGATTGTCGAGAGAAAAATAATCATACGAGATTCGAGTAGGTTCCACAGTTTTGAGGGTGGAATCTGTTCATGCCAAGATTATTGGTGATTCTTGTCTATCGTATATCATGATTTTTAATTCACAATGAGAAATGATGGAGGTTGTTTAGCTCCTCAATTCTCATGTGGCACTTAGATCCTCAATTCCGTCCCTTGCAGTATTTGCTAAGTTAGTCTCCAGCGCAATCGTGGCATCCAGTTGATTGAATATCCTTATCGTTTAATATTTAGCGACATGAAAAGGAATTATATGAAGTTTAGAAGCTTGTGAGAGTTTGTCCAATCATAGTTAAATGCCAATGAATGACAGGTCAGCATCCAACAACACAAACTTTTATCTGGCTTCATTCCAAGTTTAGCCAAATTTGATTAGTTCAAGAATGAGTGGAGCGTCGCGGTTGCAATTTGAAATGATAACACCAGCATGGCATTGATTCCATTCATTCTTGTTTATGAACCGGGGTTCTGGAGTGTCTTTTTCCTTTTCAAACACTGGTTTTCAATTGTTTGGTGAATGCCTCTGCCAATACGGAATCCAACCCTGCAATATGGGGTTGGTATTGAGAATGGTATGGTACCAATCTTGCAAGATATGTTTGAGATAAACACACAAATGATCCTAGGCATTGGAATAGCCACTAATACAGCGTCTGAATTTTCTCGAGCAGTTTGGAATGGCAACTGCTCTGGAAACTTTTTGTGGACAGGCATATGGAGCCGAACAATGCTGGCAGGTTGGAACGTTCACTTATGGTGCCATTGTATCACTCTTCCTGGTGTGTTTACCAGTATCTCTTCTATGGATGTTTCACGAATAAACTATTAACATTCATCAGATTGGCTCATTCTAGCACTATTTCCTTGTGCAATTCTTCAATCTCTGGTCAGGTATTTGAGTAATTGAGTTTAATCCCACCAATGCTTTTGAGCTCGGTTGCATCTCTATTCTCAACCTGCCTCTTTGTTGGGCTCCTGTCAAAATTTAAGCTAGGAAATCATGGAGCTGCACTTTCCATCATTTTATCATACTGGTTAAATACGATCTTGCTCTCGAACCTTGTGTGAAGTTCTTTGGCCTGTGAAGAGACCTGCGCTCCATTTTCGAAAGAAGTTTTCCAAAACATGGGACATTTCATTCGATTTGCCGTCCCATTCACTATGATGGTTTCGTAATTTGACTCTCATTTAGAAGACCGATTACTTGTTTAGTTTATTGAGCTTTTTTCTAACCGTACGTGTTTATTTTCTTTCTTTTTAGTTCTCTATGATGTTTAAATGCAGTCTGAAATGGTAGTCATTTGAGATATCCACAGCTTGAGATGTCTGTTTTATCCATATGTATGTTTAACTTCTGTACTTTCTATAGATCATTTGAATATACAGAGCACATCTTTTTTTACCCACTTTCACTTAGCAAACAGCATGGCAGCAACTTCATTAAACTACAATATACCATATTCCTTTGGTGTTGCTTCAAGGTCTTCACTCAAACCAACAAGTATATTGCGTCCACATTCTGAGATGAAAATCATAATCACCTTGTAGCACTCAGATTACGAATAAGTTAGGAGCCAGTACACCACAGGCAGCCTGAGTTGCTCTGTGCTGTACTGATTATGTCAAATGCAGAGTTTGTCCTAGCAAATACTGCTTTCTTCGTTATTGCCATTCACTGGGCTATGGATCTAGTGATGATAAGGAAGTTGTTTTTTTTAAATGACTCCTTTACTTTGCCTCTATATCATTATGGACAATTTACAAGCTATGCTATCGGGTGATCTATATACATATAAAAACAACTATTGAGAATATTAGCTATTGGTTCTTGTATCATCAAAAGCTTTAATTTTTAAGATTATCCTTTTTACACTGGATAAGGGTGGCAATGGGTCGAGCCGGACTATCCAAGCTGGGTTCGTGTGGACACGACCTGAGCTCTAGCTCAGATTAGTTGGCTCATGGGCTTCATTAGCTAAGCATGAAAAAAAAAAAAGTGAGCTCGACTAGGTCCACTACTCATTTCAAAAAGATGAGCCGCCATAGAGCGAGTAGGCTTGACCAGTTTACCACTACTACTAGCGATGAAAATATGCCCCCAAAACTCACATAGGCTCCTATTTTCAGACATCCACTACCTCTGGTTGCTCCTATATTAGGGGTGGTAAACGGATCGAGCCGGCGAGTTCCATGGGCATGTTAACAGATAAATTTCACATCAAATAAAGATGAAAATATTGACAAAGGATATGAATTACTCCTTTTAATAATATTGACTTTTTAACATGGAAGGACTTTTGGATTGGATCAGTAGCAAGGACAATGCTGCTATCTTTCTTATTTTCTCTTATAACAAGCTTCTTTGATCGGAAGAAAAAGGTTCATATTCAAATGCGTCTGGTGCTGCCAATAGTTGTTCACAATCAGATATAATAACATCGTACCAGGGAAAAATATCAGAATTTTAATTTGATTGGTAGTTAACTTGCAGTAGTTGGAACAATTGTTCCATTGGTAATTTCAGGCACTCTTGTAGTAAGATGCTCTGTAGACCGGCCAATTATTAAGCACCTTCCAATATATTTTTTTGTTGAGACCCTATTTGGTGGCCATTTTTTTTTGTTGAAGAATACTGCGTTGAATAGTGAATTTTGAAGGATGTGTGGTTAAAACGTATGAAGTTTTTTTGGGTTTACTTGTAGAATATTTTATTATGTAAATATATGGTTGAAAATGAATATGGAGAAAAAAATGGTTTTTAAATAATAGGAGACAAACAAGAACATGGAGAAGGGAAAAATATTGAAAAAAAAAAAAAATCTTTCTTTTGGCAAACTATTCTTGTAAAATGAATATCATCATTAGTCTATGTGATATTGAAGTTAATCAATAAAAATGCATCTTAATTTTCTTTGGTGATATGATAGCAATCTCATTTATCACAGACTTATGATCATCACTGTAGATAAATAACATTATTCTTGTTTTGAGTGACCATTGTGAAATCGTTAAATACATCAATAACTCATGGAGTAAACAATGTACTTTAATGAAAAAAAATTAAAATTTACTACAAAATTCAATGACAAAATTAATAAAAATATTAAAACAAATTGAAAATGAAGGAAATACGAGGGAAACCATGAGTAGGGGTAGGGTAGGAGTACGAGTAGGAGTAGGAGGAAGCGGAGTAGGGGTCGAGGCCTAACTAGGTGGGCAGCAGGCTGGGTTGGGGCTAGGCTATTGGGGATGTAGAGATTTGAATGATTTGAAGTATTCCAAACTACATATGCTATAAAAATAAAAGGTTGAGATCGAAAATTTCTGATTTACCAATTGAGAACCAACTTGCTATAATAGTCACAAGCGATAGGACCTATAATTCAACTTTTCACATAAAAATAAAATAAGAAAAACATATTGGATAGATTGAACCAAACAAAACATAATATTATAATAGACAAACATCTCACATGTCTCGTTGTTTTTGTACCGTTCAACCATAGAAATATGTTGCACATTCCGTCTCATTGCTGTAAGTAATTTTTTTTCTTGTCCCAACACGATCTTATCTATTCAATCAAACGTTCCATCTAATTTTACAGCTCGAATCTTTTCTCAAGAAAAAAGTAAACATTTTTCAAGTTTCAATAAACCAATTATAATTTTTAACCATGTCGTCGACTCCAAAGTTCCACAAGTAATTGACAAAATCATAAAGCAGATAATATCCAGCCAATTAAATACTTGTTATATTATCGCATTTCTTCTCTAGTAAGCCTTGAATATTAGTTCTACAGAAATGAATAAAATCAATGAGGTGCAAAAATAATAAAAAGAGGGAATTGAACCCGACGTGAATCGAACACGCAACCTTCTGATCTGGAGTCAGACGCGCTACCATTGCGCCACGGATCCACATTACTACTTCTCTCGTACAAGTTTAATATATTTTACTTTCTATCCATGTTGTTTGTACGTAAATGTATATCATTTTAATGGAAAATGTAAATAAAAATGGACAGAGATAGAAAGGAAAGGAACAATAATAATTAAAAAAAATCCATATTCAAGCACCTAAAATTATCACATTGATTCCTCCTTATTTAGTTACGGTGAATAACAAATATCATAATTGTATAAAACTCTATAGTATCGTAATTCTAATAATATCACTTGACGACTTGATTTCTCCATTTTTCTTATAATTGTGGTCGTATCAAGAACACGGAAATATGGAGTAACTTTTGAGTTGACATCTCATTGGCTATTGTTCCATCGACTGTCCCCTACACTAAATTTTTGCACCTCAATACATCAATTCTTAATGTCAAATGAGAAGGCGAAAATGTGATGTAAATTTGTATTGTATTGACGTCTTTCCATTTGAGTAACGTATCTCAATTCCTGACTTCTAATGAGAGGGTTGTCATGCAAGGTGTACACCAAGTGTTTATACCTAGCACAACTCCACGCAATATGAAATTGCGTTTGCTCCGCGATTTTATTGAAAAATGAATGATCGACTAACATGATGGTATAACTTAATAATGGGTTTTAAAATTCGTCGAAATAAATAAAATAATTAAAGTTCAGCGGTAAAGTTCTATCACAATTAGCACCCATTAGAAGAATAAGTGCTATAGAAAAGGAAAAATTACGTTAAATTACTTTTCGATTGATGTAAAGAATAATGCACCATTGCAACTACAAATATTAATATTTGAAGGACATATACATACATGTTTAATGAATGCTTTTGTCTTTATATTAGTTTGGAATAAATTTATTTTTGTCAAATTATGTGGTATACTTATTTGTTTTTCGACAGCAGGTTCGATCCCAGATCAACCTTTTGACTCGTGATCCTCTAACTTTTCCGAGTCAATATCCAAACCTGTTTTCAAAATATTATTAACAAAAGGAGAACACAAATCAAAATCAGAGAAATCACCAGAATAAAGTCAACACAGCTAGAAAAATGGATGAACCCATCAAATTTACCTCAATCGCACCTACATATATTATAGCAAAATCATTTTTACAAAAAAATGAAGTCTCCTATACACCCACAAACCACCCGCAATTCCCTATGACTTACTCGAGGTCACTCGTTTGAGTATGTGCGCAAGTAAGAGAGCCGTACAGTATGCTATAAACAAGTTGGAAAAAAAATGTGGCCCCCCAACTGCATAACGAGGAACATGCAGTGAAACTTTCCTTGGAGCAGAACGCACTTTTTAATGAATCTTGTTTGAAGAACAAACCTTATTGAGGAAAGTACGTACATTTATCTCTGATCCTGCTTTCCATTTGAATCCGATGTGACAGGGGATGGAGGTTTTGATTGATTATGTTGTGGCGGTGGAGCTGTTAGCGAATAAGTCATCATCCTGGACGAGGAACTTTCAATAAGACCAGCAACGCCAGCCGCTGAAGTTTGAGCATTGGAAGGAAGAAAAAGATCGTGTTTCTGGTCTTTATAAGCACTCCAAACCTGCACATTACGTCTTAACAAATAAATAATTGACGACAAAATATTGAAGAACTCTATCTATACATTTTTACTATTAAGGTCATGCTTTTGTCAAACATATTTTTTATACACACATTTAATAAGACTCACAACTTACTACCAACTTATTATTTACATATCAATAGGACTCACAGCTTATAAGCACTATAAAACACTACTAAACAAACAATAAATTGAATCAGGGGAGAGTTAACAAATACAAGGGTAGATACAAGGAAATGATAAGAATTTCGAATCGTTCAATAACTTAATCACCAATCCATGCTCAAAATTTTACTCATTTATCCAAGAAAACTGTGGATCTTGGGATATGTAAAACTATATTCAACATGGAAATGTTAATTACCCATCAAGAAGAATCCAAGTTTGGGGTCAAGGAAGCAGGAGAAAAACAATTGACTCCAGTGGAATGCAGTCAAATCAGGAAGTGCCTAGCTAATGTAACAATAAAATATTAAAATATAAAAAGGTGTTTGACGAATATAAAAATATTGTTATAGAGCCTAGTTAAAAGAAATATAGGTAAATAGTTGATTACTCATCCCAAGAAATAATAGGAGAGAGTGATTGCTCGCACCAACACCTCTCGTTAAAATTGAACTCTACTAACATCGCTCAGAAAATTCACTTCATATCCCCATTCTGTAATGCTACAACTTTTTTGTATGACAAACGAGGAGGGCACAAGCTCTCTTTTACTTGTTAGGTCTCCCAAAGGTCAACTAAATATCATCACTCAGTTTCATTCATTATTCACTTGACATTTTCCCATCCAAGCTAATGGAAAACAAGTCCCCTGCTCTCCTCCTCAAGCTATCAAAGGCAAAAAAAGTTGCCGTAATAATTTGTGTACATCTCTCTTATTTTAGTTTGGTCTTCTAGGTGAGGATCGGAGTAACATATATTGGTGTCTCTCCCAGTGAAAAATATCAAAGAAGCAGAAATAATGACCTAATTGGGGTCACAAGTACGACAAGTGATGATATAAAGGAATTGCAGATAAGTTGGTTTCCCAACAGACAGTGAATAAGAAATCTCTTTGAACTAAGCTGATAGCATCTGTCGGCCATATAGAGGTGGCACCTGATGAAAACAAGTATTTATGAAAAAAACAGCTATTCACTTTATTGTCACCATTTACGATCTCTTTTAGGAGTCAAAATTCTAATCAGAATACCACTTCAAGTTCATCTGATTAAATTGAGTTTTTGATCCATTCTGACTTATTCCAGTTTTAACTATGAA